ATCTCTGCCTCATTTAGATATAATTGCAATAACTGCTGTTGCATGCGGTTATGTTTATTTTAAATGGTGTCCACATGTCCAGCAGCAGATGTAGATGCAGACAAAGGCGTGGTAAGGCCTATCCACGGTCATTTCTCTTCATCAGTTGGACCACTTCAAAGTTTGACCTGACGAGGTAGCTACCAGCCCGGAGAGGCTGCAAGGATACGTGAAGGTCACTGGCTATCTTTGCAGGTTATCCACATCAAAGCTTGTCACACGGAGCCCCAAGAGGATGCTGGGAGCTGGGTTTAGAGCACACACTTTCTACTTTGCTGCATATCAAAATGGGCTTAAGAAGATTCCTCTGGAATGCTTGGTCAGCTTCACAGGAAGTGTAAATGAATACAAATCTAACTTCAATAAAAGTGAGGAGATGAGGCTCTGCAAATATTAATGGAATTCAGACAGAGAACAGAAAAGGAAAATACTGAAGAACAGGGAGAGAAAAGTGTTAAAGCAGCAAGCAGAAGTATTAAAGTATCAACCCGGCACAGCAGGCAGAGAAAAGCTCTGCAGCTCGGTGTCAGCACTTTGCACTTTAGACTAATTAGAATCGTTTAACCTTTTATAAAATCAGACCTTCCAGAATCAAGCCTCACGCTTTGGAGGAGAAACGTCAATAAACCACAGTGTTAACTGCAAAAGCAAATCCAGTGAAGAAGAAGAACAAAATGAGCGTGTAACAGACAACAGCATCCTAAAGCAGACTGAACACAGCTCTGAGTCCATCTGCTGCCACGGATTAAAATAAAGCCAACGTCAGCTGAAAAGCAAGAACGGATTTCTGACTGAAACGTCACTGTTAGTGGAAACAACCGCCTGTGGTCATGGGAGGAAGTGCACGTAGCTGCTACAGGTAATTTGTTTTCTAACGCATGCCTGATGATAATCTGACCGAACAGAAATAACTGAATAGATTTCTTTTCTATTTGGTCTTTATTTCGCTGAGGCCTGAAAACGTAAGAGCAGCTGTTATTCATTCTGTGGTAACCACATTTACTTTGATAGCTTCTACTAAACCAACCAGAGCTGGTTTGGCTCAATGGGAAGAGCAGCTGCTCTAGTGGCACAGGTTCGAATCCTACATGTGACATTTGCTGCACATCTTCCCTACTTGCATGTACTCTGCTTTCGGGTGGCTCAGGCGGTGCAGCAGGTCATCTACTGATCGGAAGGTTGGTGGTTCGATTCCTGGCTTCCCCCAGTCTGCATGCCAAATATCCTTGGGCAAGGTATTAACCCCAATTGGCTCTCTGATGCATCCATCGGAGTATGAATGTGTGTGAATGTTACTTAGAAAAGCACCAGGAACAATGTGCTTGTGTGAATGTGTGAATGCACAAGTTGTGTAAAGCTTTGAGTGCTCAGAAGAGTAGAAAAGCGCTACATAAGAACCAGTCCATTTACCAAGCAGAGCTTTCTTGCATCTCGTTTTCGGCTAATGAACAAAATGGTTGTAAGAAGGCAAAAAGCCGTTAGTGT